TTGCATTTGTGTTTGTATTTTATTTTATAAAAAGGAAAGCTAACTTTGATATAGTGTGTAGCACTAACCCATGATTAAAGGATAATCTCTAGTAAGTTAAGGGTCTGAAAAGAGGCTTAAAGTTTACTAAAGCAAGTTATATTTGGTAAAAATGTAGATAAGCTACTTTTTGGGTGGATTGTATAACTATTATTAGGAAAAATAAATTTCTTAGTGTATTTGCAAATAAAAAGTAGCAGGACTGCCAAATTAAAAAAAATATTAGAGAAAGTGTTAAAAATTGTTTCTGTTTATTATTATTATCTATTATTATATACTATTTTAAAATAGATTTGAAGATTTAAATATTTATTGTATTTTTGTTTATTTTATTGTTTTATTTTTATTTTTTTCTTTTTTTATTTGTACTATAGTATGCTAGAACTCTTTAATAAAACTTAGTTTGTTAATTTTTGTTCAAAACAGCAGTATGATTTTAGATTTGAATTTATTAATATTTTATATTAAAGACTTATACAGTACTAGTATTAATTTTGTTATAGATATAATTATATTATTTTTTTATTCATAATGATTTAGTTAAAGTTTAAAATTTTAATTAACAAATAAAATTTTTATAATATTACAAGATGGTTTATAAAAATTGGCTAATTGTAACAAATCCTGCTATGCTTATCCAAATATATCAGGTAAGATTTTATACTTAGATATATTCTGATCAGATATCATTACTATTCCCAACTTCTTTCAGTACAATCCTTCAAATCTCACAGTATAATTTTTTAACTTTTTCTACTAATATTACTTATTCTTTAATATCCTTTTGTATGCTGTATACCTTTGTCTTGAGCAGAAAAGATATATAAAGAGTGCCTTTTTCTTCTTTCTGCCAATTCGCAAGTTCTTATACTTTACTTAGACTTTGTTATTCTTTAACCTTTCTTATCTTGTAAAGTGTAATATTCCCTCTCTAAGGTAATTCCTACAAGCAAACCTTATTATCATTCTTGTATTAAATAAAGTTATTCTATATATTATTACTATCTTGAACTATTTGTCTGTTATAGTGTAATTAAGTAAACAACTACACCTCCACCCTGTATATATTTGCAATAATCAATTACTATATCAGGTAACCTTATTACTTGGTTGTATTTTATTAAGAAGGTTACAACTCTGTAATAATATACAGTATATAAATATACTATATAGAAAGCATTATTATTTTAAATATATACTATAAGATAAAAGATGCAAATTTATATTTTACTAGATAATTTTATTCTATTTATATTAATAGATGATTTTTTAGTAAACTGAAGAATGATCATAGTATAATATAGTATTTGTAGTTGATCTAAATTTATCAACTAAACTAAGTTGATATTTAAAAATTGGCTTAGCTGGCTAAGTTGTAGTCAATCACCCTAATTGGTTAATTAAAAGCATGTGATTTAAATAGATATAATTGATTAATTATTCATTAAATCTGATATATATATACATACGTACTAGTATTTGTAATCAATCATTATTTATCAACTTAACTAAGTCAACTTCTTTTTTTTTAATATTAAGATGACTTCTTTATTATGCTACTCTTTATTTAAATATTAGTAGTATTTTTAAACATTAGACATATCTGACAGCTATACATATTTGTAAAATACAACTTGCCTATTTAAGTAGTCTGCCTATCACTAGGTTTTATATTAGATGCTATAGTATACCTGCACCCTACTAGGGAGGTTATTTATTTAAACCCTCTATACCCATATACCAATTCTTTTATATCCAAATGATAATACTTAGTACCACCTTATTTTTACATACTGGCTTAGAGCTTTAAAGCAGTCTTAATCATTTTAGAAAATCTTTTGACTTTAAGGTAAACCTGCTAGAGTCTTCTATACCCACATTTAGGCTGATCTAGACTTCAGTAACTTATACCTAGTTTGAGAACAAGTACTTGCAGCCTTTTATTTCTGTTACTATTATCTACTTCTGCCCTTATAGAGTTTATTCATACTCCAACTCTGGTACTCATCCAATCAAGAACTCTTTTACTGTTTTACCAAACTTCCAATCCAGATAAACCTAATTTGGTTCACAAATTACATTACCCACTTTCTTATTGGCTTAACCTGGATACTGGCCTATGCCCTTTCCTCTAGTCAATTCTAACAATCTGGTTGGTATAGTACTCACCAAATACTTAATCTTTATTCAGATCTGCAGCTTTTTGGTTCTTTTTTTAGACTTTTCAAAACTGTTGAAAATATGATTAAGTTGACATTTAAAACTGAAATTTATTGTTTTTGTTTAAAATGGATCAAATTTTATTTTCTTTTTGAAGAATTTTTGAGAAAAGATAATATAAATACCAAATTGGCCTAAACTTGATTAGTTACTTTAATTCTTAATATTGATATAATCTAACATAAAATCGACTAAGCTGATTGTTTGAAAAATCGGCTGACTTAGCTGGCTAAGCTGATAAAATCAACTAATACAAAATTGACTACAAATACTAGTATAATGTAACAGTTCTATATATAAATTACTATAAATGCAAAAAAAAAAATTTTCTAAGAAAAACTTTTTCATACTAAGTTAATCACCTTTGAATCTTTAAGTAAAGTTGTAGAGCTCATTGAAATCATCAAAATTGGCCTAGTAGATGCCAAGATATCTTTAAAAACATTTCGCTGTCTATATAAAATTCTTGTATTGTTCTTAAAGAATTTTCAAAGATATCTTGGCATCTACTAGGCCAATTTGGATGATTTAACTACCATTAGATTCGTCTCAATGAGCTCTACAACTTTACTTAAAGACTCAACAGTGATTAACTTAGTACGAAAAAAAAACTTTTCCTTGGACAATCACTAGAAAATTTTTTTTTTTGCATCAATTAATTTACAAGTATCAACAAAAGAATTTTATTGTAACAAAATCAAAAATAGATACTGTATATTTATTCTTAAATAAAAATTTACAAAAAATGCTTTAACTAAGGTATAAATGCTAGTTTTATAATCAAAATTTTCGTCTTACAAAAGATTATTTTTTAATTTATATTTCTGATTTAATTTGTTAACTTTGATTTTTATACTAAATAAAATCTTAATTTTTTTTTTTTTTGTAAACAGACTATCATCATTATGAAAAGGCGTTTTGTTGTACCATATTGCAAATTTATAAAAAATTATTTTCGTGTGAATAATAAATCTTATCACAAGCTCATCTAATTTTTATACGATTCTGGTTTTTCTGCCTTTCTGTATCAAATATAGTATAGGTGATCCTGGTGTTTTGTAAAGAGTTTCTGGAAACTTTGTTGAGGGTTGCCTATATTTGATCCGGTAAAATTTCCAAAAAACACAGAAACACCGGGTCACTTACACCAGGACAGCTCTGGGCAAATTTTGTGGACAATTTTGGACAAAAAAACAAATCTAATTTGCTCTTTTAAGTAAAAATATTCAGAATTATATAAAATACATAATTATGTTTTTTTAAACTAATTTATTAAATTTTAAAGCCTAAATATTCTTTGGACAATTGTGGACACTGTGGACGTTTGGACGTGGACATGGGCAAAAAAGTCTTGGACATAGTAGACGTGACAACACTGACCTACACCAGGTCACCTATACTATATTTGATCCGAAAATCAAGATACGTGTAGTTGCATTCATTCTGAAATTACTAAAGATATGTTTTTTGCTTAAATACTGTTTTCACAAGTACAATATAATAATTTAAAATATAGGCAGAAACCCTGAGAACACTTATTTTGAGCACTGTAGTATCTGTGATCACTATAGTCGTCATAAAAGTTGGTTAAAATTTGATAGAGATAACAAGTGCCAGAACCAAAGCTATTCTTGAAATCTTAATACGTAGGTTTTTGCAGAATCAGCCGTTGTTTAAAAGTGAAAGATTTAAGATAAATAACGGTATGTCGGTTTGAGAGTTTGTCACTTAATTATTAGTGATAATGTCATCTATGTTCTACGCGTATATATCAAAAGGACAATTACTCGGTTGAGTTGACATGCATTATGGTATTAATTAATGGCATATTGATATATTTTTTTTGAAGAGATTACAAACACGTACTTATTGGCGCAGTGATTATTGTCCAAATATTTATTTTCAAAGCCTACACATTCATCGATGACTTGACAAAATTTCATAAGTGGTTCCTTCATTTTTGTAAGACATCGCCTGTTATTCAATATTGTAAACAATAAATATATGTATATGTACCCTAAAGCTTAGCCTTACTTGCCGTGCCAGTTCTTTCGCTCAAAATTATATTCATTGAGAGAGCCGTGCCTTTCTCTCTTCTCATCCTTGTCTTTATTTTATCCTAAGCAAATTCGTTTTTTGCTTATCGTGAAAAATAACAAATAAAATAATATATATTTTTTATCCTTTAAAATAAAATGTCAATATTTTGGAAAATTGGAAATTTGTTAGCATATATATTTCTTTTGGGGGCTAATATTTATGGTGATCTCGGGCCTAGCCAGGTTTTTAATTTTTCCAATTCTTTTTCGTGACCATTGGTTTTTTTTATGAATTGATAATTTTGAGTACATACGCTTATATGTGCGTGAATAATGTTGTTATATAGATTAACAAAATATTTTATTAAGAATTCTATGTTAAAATTATCGGTAATACGATTTACATTTTTTTTTTTTAATGAAAATTTTAGGAGAAAAGCCCGTATTTCCTCTACCATACAACGTACATTACCCCGGCCTATTTTACGTTCTATGTATGGTTTCTTATTCATCTTTTATTAGGATGCTTTGGTAAGTTAGAATGTGAACATTGCTTCGATTCGATAAGATTTTACTGAAAGAGAAAAAGCTGAATTTTTTAATTATATTTTGTATAGTTATTAATCAATTTTTCCCAGAAAACGACATAATAATTTCAGAAATTAGTTATCACTTTGTAGCCATAGCATTTTTGAATTCTTTATGGCTTTTCCTTTGGGTATCTTATATTTAAATCTCATATTTAAATCTCATATTTAATTACATTTACCAAATTTTTAAAATATTTTTAAAATTATTTTTAAATACACAATCTCCTGTTTAAAGGAACTAGATTTTCTCTTTCTTGGCTTTATCGTCGTTATTGTGATCTTAGTGCAGGTCTCCTGGGTTTATTGGCGTTTGAGAAGATTTCCCACCAAAAGAATATTTGATGCTGAACGTAAATTTATTGCTAAAAATACGTTTGAACTTTTTTTCATTCATGCCCCATTCTCTTTATATCACGCATGGATTTTAGTAATCGCAGTTCTTACGGTATACGCAACTTTTACACCTGATAGAGCAGTTGCTTATGATGCAGCTGCTATCGAAACTGTCACCAATGATACTACAATTGCTAATGCCGCTACTGTCTATGAAAGTCCTAGCATATTTGTTCAAATTTTAGTGATTTTGGGACTTCTTTTCATGGAGTGCACTGCAATTGGTTATATTGAGAGATTTAGAGGTGATATTGCTGGTGCAGCTGTAATTGCTTGGACTTTATATGGTATTTGGTATGAGCAACAAGATGCTGTTATACGATGGACCGCTTTTGTTCTTGCCTTAATTACTACATTCCATATCTGTAAACCTATTATTCTGAAATATGTTTTCAAGAAAGATGTGGACGTTATTATTATTTAATTAGTTTTGTTCAGGTATTTAGCTTGAACTATTGATAACGTTAAATATAATTTTGATTTAAAAAAAATATTTTGGGATTTTTTTTTCTGTATATAGTTTGATTTTAATTAGTGTCCAGACTTATGTTATTTCAGGGATTTTTCATTTGCTTAATGAAAAATCTCTGAAATCGCGTAAGTCTGGACACTCTAATTTCAATAATTATAGTAGTTGCATGTTCTTTGTATTAACAAAATGAGGAAATAAAGTGAATCTTTACAATTAAAATACGCTAAAACACATATATAGTTCTTGACGAGAAATACTGTAAATAATGTTTTAAGTTTATACAGTAAAACTATAATAATAATACTAGTAATATATATATAAATTGCAAATTTTGCTCTTTATAGATAGTAATTTTATTACTATTGTTATTGATTCAGAAGAAAGTATGTGACTAACATAACCAGGATTTGCATATTAAAATTGTTTCCATGGTTTAGCGAGATCAGGGGATAAAATTTCTCATGTGATCTGATATTGATGTAAAACACGATATATCGATATAATGGAATTTACAATTAATTTTGATCAATGGCATAACGATAATGGATAGCATAATGAGATTTACAAGTCATCACTGAATTAATAAATTAATCATAGCGATAAATAAAATTAATTAATTGAAAAGATTCAATAAATTTATCATAACAAAGATTTATTAATTTTCTTTAGAAAAAAAAAGATATTAAAGTCGCAATTTTCTACCATTCCTTAGATTCATAACCAAAGTAACAATATCTTTTCCTTTTACAAATCCAACGATTAAATTTTAACAATCTCATAAACAAAATGCATCAAATTTACAGTCTCCTTTCAACTTTTTTGATTCTCTCGGTGCTAATTCCATCTCTCCTTGCTTATTCAATCCCAAATTCAAAATACAATAAACCAAATAATCGTCGTGACTTAAAAAATCGTTCTCGAAATGGCGATATTAAGAGCGTTTCTAAAAATAAAAGATACATTGGTCCAAACTTAAATAATATTCGTCGCGCGCAATTATCTAAACGTTGTATATCACCAATTGTAGAATCTACATTGTTGAAACCACTTTGTAATAATTGTGGAGCCTTTGCACCATCCTGCGGTTGTTGTGGTTCTCCCTTTGACTTTCACTGCAAAATTCCCCGTGACATTCCCTGCGACATTCCCTGCGACATTCCCTGCGACATTCCCTGCGACATTCCTTACGACATTCCTTGCGAAATTCCCCACGACATTCCCTGCGACATTTCCTATGAAATTTCCCACGACATTCCCTGCGACATTTCCTATGAAATTCCCCACGACATTCCCTGCGACATTTCCTATGAAATTCCCCACGACATTCCCTGTGACATTTCCTATGAAATTCCCTACGACATTTCCTGTGACGTCCTTCCGTTACGATATGGAAAGTTGAAATGCGGTGATAAGCCAAAAAAAGAGGTGTCTAAAAATCAATTCTGTTCAAACGAATTTCAAGGTGCTTTTGAAAAGGATCATGCGTTACAGTGTTGTGATGAATCTCAATGTCAAGTCTGTTCTGATTCTTGTAATGAGAATAGTTTTAAACTTACCGCTTAATTTTTCAAATGTTATTTTTTATTTATATTTTTCTTTCATATATATATATATAAGATGTTTAGAATTAGGAATAGTGATGTAAAATGTAATAATATGTTTAAATAAAATATTGTATAATTTTTTTTTTATTTGAAGGTAATAATCAAGCATAATTAACGTATTTAGAAAATTTTTACAAGTGATTCTATATTAAATTGACCATGTTGTTTCGAATTTTGATAATTATAATTTTTTCATTTGTAAAAAGCTTTTTTACTATTTTACTATACTAATGTAGCACTGGTGTATAGTTGGTCGTATGAAGTAGCAAGTTTATGATTTCATTCATGCGAAGATCTCGTCTTTACATTTTTTACATTGCAATGCATTTTAAAAATTAACCCTTTGTTATGAGATTTTGATTAAAGTATAACGCTCTCATATATTTTATTCTTTCCACTTAGTATAATGGTTTCCAATGAATCCATTATCATTGTAGCTAAGACTTTTAATAATTACTATATACATACTTTAAATCGGTAATTTCAAATTTATTTATTCGAGGGCTAAAAAAATTTAAATTCAAGTAATCTTAAGTTGAATAACTACACATGAATTAAAATATTTATTAAAGGGTATGAAAATGTAAAAAAACTAAATATATACATATGTTAAAAAAAAAAAAAAAAAAAAAAAAAAAAAAATCAAATAACGATACTAATAAATATTATCATTTATTTTACTCCTAAACGGTTAAATAAGGATTCTTTCATGAAATATTCAAAATTATTGGCGCTAATGTTATGAAAATATGAAGTAGAAATTTTGTGCTAAATCTCCTTAATGGGAGGGATCAAATCTAAAAAAACACGGATTTGGAGAACCTGGGTATCGAACCCAGTACCTCTCGCAGACTCATAATGCGAAGCGAGCGCTCTACCATCTGAGCTAGTTCCCCACTCCTTAGTTTCTGCGCTAAAAATTTTTTTCTTATATATCATGCGATTGATTATTAAAGACAATTATATTACCATTATTAAATAATAAAAAAATATTATTACTGTATTGATCCGACATGTGTACCCTTTATACAATATTTTGAATATATCAACGGAAGTCTTTGTCGATTTTTAACCGTTGCCCTTGCCTTATTTTTACGAGATTAATGTGTTGAAGTGCATTAATAATATTTTGAGAATGTCAACTTGCATTTTATAAAAAAAAAAACAGTGACAGTATCGGTATACGTATAGTATTTCATTTAATATATATAGAAATACATGATATAGATCAATATTGTATATCGATACTAAAAATTTAACCAATTATATTTTGTTATACTTGATCAAGTGATTTGGTTAGTCACACACACATTTATCATTGGAGTGCGTTGTCATCAGCTATGTAAATCAAAACTATGTGGTATCATCGAAGATACTATGCTGTACTTATAGTGATAAATTTTATATATATGGTTATTACCATTAAAGAATATTTGGTTTAGATATGATTATTATTATTAAAGAACATTTTTAGATGTAAAGGACGATTTCATTGCTTTTTTCAAATGTTTTAACATGAAATTAATCTTAATCATATTTCTAACAAAGTTAAAAGATTTCGTGTTTTAAAATAAAAATGTTGCCGACATCAAACAATTTTCTTTTTCTTTTTTCTTTTTGCCTTGACTGAATTTTCATTCGAATTTTAAGTATTAACATAGAAGTTCAGAATAAAATATTTTAACGTAACTTTGTTATAAATATGTTTAAGAATTGATACATACCAAGACATTTGTAAAAAAAATAAGGTAATTCGTTCTCCACATCTAAAAATGTTCGTCACAAAGTTTTGATCTACCCACCCAGATTTATATACACATAGTTTTGGCCTACATAATTGACTGCGCACCCCAATATATCAGGTCGACACTTTCCGTTTCATGATTTTCATGATGCATCCCAACGCTTTGGCACCCTAAAAGGTGAGGTAAGAACAGCAGTTAAAAAAAATTTTGTACCATACGTTTACATTGATGCTAAGAAGTCGATTGTGAAATTGATTATATCGATATATTTTCGGGTACATTTCGACGAAATTCGACTTAAAATCCCTATTCTATAGCCGGCTATATTCTTCAAATTATCTTCATTATTGTATTATACTTCATACATACAGGATTATTAATCTCATAAAGGTTACTTTATAATGAGATATTGTTATAAATTACATAGCTTTTATTTTTTGCTTAAAATACTTAGCCGAAGCTAAATCAAATGTGCTACCATTTTTTCCGAGCGACGCTAGGTCGCTGTCACATTAAATACTAATAGCTACATTGATTATAGCCAGTATTATTAAAAATTCCTGGATGCTTTTCGAAATAAACTATTATGTTAGTTGATTATTAATAAAAGTAGAAATATATATAAGTTTTAAACCTTTTGATACACTATCGTATTTTATGTTTGAATATAACGTTGTTTAATATTTCGGGATACTCATTTCAGGTTTTTTGACTTACAACTATTATCATAAATTCTGTGACAACTGAAAAATTGCCAATGACCGAATAAATAAGTTATCGAGTCAAAATCAATGAGTTACTTCTGTAACATCAAAAACTTATCGATTTAGTCATCGGCAATTTTCTGGTTGTCCCAGAATTTATATAGTAGCTGTAAACGAATATTACGATTTATTACCAATAAAATCATTCTACATATGAACCATAGAAAGAGGTACTTGAGATTGGTTATAGATTATGGACTGGTTTAGACTGGTTATTAGATTATGGACTAAAAACTATGGTCTTTGCAGAACCTAGTTACATTAGCATTGAAAAAGTTCTTTAATGCAATAACAAGTGCCAGTTAGCACTTTTAAACAGTTTTAGATACATATAAAATACTAGAATTCCATATCATAAAATATGGAAGTTAAATATATGCATACTTTTATTATTAATACTAAACTTAGAAGTGATATTAAAAAGAAAAGATACAAGTTATTCTTTAGCGAAATCGGATTCATTATCTATATTAATCAATTGTTATTTAAGTATATTAATGGTGATAAAATACTTATTAATAATAAGTTAAAAACTTTATCACTTAATCTGTAGGCTTTTCCAGAAAAATTTGCCTGGAAATTTATTATAAATGAGTGTCGCCAAAAGAAAACCTGACAATTTAAATATAGAATTATTTGTGTAAGAGAATGTGGGTTTTCAAAATTATTTATAGAGTGTGATGTGACAAGAAAGAATATTCCAGCCTATTATTCTAGTCTTTTCAGCTACGTGATTAACAAATTAGAATGCACTGTTGATTGGAGCTTCCGGCAAACTTTTACTAACGAAATACTAGTATCCAGCCATTTTTTTTAAAACAAGCAAGTGATATATATTTTTTTCTACTATAAAAACAAACCTTGTAATTTTTTTAATGACAAATTATTATTAATGTCAAAAAGTGAATTTTGTTTCGATAAATAGGGTCGTGACCATATTAGAACTTGGTCTGCCACATAGCTTGAATTATAAACATGTATTTTTTTTTTGTGATTATAAGTATGCCAATTTAAGAGTAAATATAAACCTTGGATTAGAATAGTTATGCCTAATGAAGTATTATAGATATTAATGCACTAAATTAGGCATAATGAAAAAAATAAGCTGTTTCCAATTATACATGCTGATGAAATTATTTTGGGTCTAAAACCTGAAATTAAAATTTAAAGACAAAATTGTTTTTGACCTAAAAGACAAAATTTTTTGATAATTTTTTGAAAAGACAAAATTATAAAGAACATAATTATCTAAATTAGATTTGCTCTTTTATAGACAAAATAGTGTTTTTTTTAAAATCTATTTGGTGGCATGTATACTTTCAATACAAAGCAAAAAAAAAATTTCATATTTTAATATAAAGGGATTAAATAGTGGTTTTATTATTTTAATAGAGACAATATTATTAATCAACTAATATCAATTATCAATAATAGTGGCAACATCTTCAACATCTTTAAGTATTCTAATCAACAGTTATATAGTAACTTTTTTTATTTTGTTAATTTTAGTTTTTGGATTCAAAAATTTTTGCAATTTTTATAAGCTTTTTATCTCTTTTTTTTTTTTTTTACATGTTTTATCTTAATACACAACTGTGATTTTGAATTTTTTTTTGTATTGAATAATACTATTCTATTGTTTCACACAACATAAAGACTGATTTTTTAACAAAATTAATTTACTAACAACAGAAAAAATGGGTCAACAATGTGTAGCTTTAGTTACATTTAAATAGTGACTCTTTAGATTATATTTATATATAATTAACAAATTAGAAGTTTTTTCATTTATATTATTATAGAGTCTTTTTTTTAAACAAAAAAAAAGCATTGTCTTTATGTGATTTAGAAGGGTCTTAAACAGATGCAAAAAAAATTTAAAAGCAGTACAATTAGCAGATCATAAATGTTAGATTTATTTTATAATATTTGAATTTGTAGAGTTATATTTTAAAAAATCATAACTTTAATTTAAAGTATAAAATTATATTACCTATATTATAATATTATATTTTTCTAAACTAGAAGTGTAGACAAATTATCTCAATAATTATTGTAACTTTACTGTAACATGCTATAACTATCTCTATAACTACTAGGAATTGAGAACTAATATAAGTTCAAAGTATTATATTTAATAAACTATTATATTTTTAGAAATACTTAATTGACAATTCGCGAATAAATAAGAATGAAAATTGGGGATAAGTTAATTATAAAAATTACTAATAGTGCTAAAATCTAGTTTTCTCGCAATTTATAATAAAATATCATATAAAATTTTAGTACCTAGTTTTTGAATATTTATAGAATAATCAGTTTGAAATAATTTTTAAATTTTTTTTATAAAAAGATAGAAAAATTCATATATCTATTATAGGTTAAATTTTATTTATTGTTATATTTAAATAAATTATACTTACTAGATCAGAAATGTAGATTTGAAATTG